ATACTGATTTTTATTTTTTTTCCAGAAAGTCACCAGTGCTTTTAAAAAATGCATTCAAGAACTCATCACTCCACAGATGTTTTATTTTTCCTGGAGAGTGAGAGCACCTGTGGACACAAGTAGAAATAACCTGAGTTCCCTGGAGAAGAAGTGGCCATACTTGTTTATTACTGGCAACCCAGAAAGAGAGAAGCCTGCCTTCTGCACAGTTTGAAGCAAGGAACTGGTCCTGAGTGAGTAGCAAATGTAGCTGTAACTTGCTGCTGCACTGCAGAGTTTATGGACCTGCAGCCTGAATAACCATCATGAGACAGGTTTGGGATTGAGAGACCTGGCAGAGGAGGAAGAGGGCAGGTGTTTTTCTTGTCTGGGGGTAAAAATGGGATCCTAATCCCACCCCAGCCCCTTCACTGCTTTCCTCCTCAAGGGGTTTTAAATGTGGAACATTTATCTGATGTAGTTGTTAGTGCTCAGAAATTAGTGGAAGTGGTTGAGCAAGCATGCTGTCCTGTTACGTATTAGCTTAATTCACCTGGAAGATTTATAGCAAAATTCCTTACGCTTTCACCTTGAATAAAGGTGGCTCAGATGAGATCTTTACCCCTGGGCTTTTACAATTACAATTCAGGCTGCCAGTGTGCACGGAACATAAGAACTGATTATTCCTTCTACCTGGACAATGAAGACTAATCTGCAAGGCAAGAGCTGAAGTGCTATCCTAAAATAAGGCTAGGAGCTGTAATAGTTCCTTCTCCTTGAGTTATGAGCCCACAGGGTAGAGGCCCAGCTAATCCTTTGGTCAATAATGATAGACAGGAGATGTCTAATTAGTGATCTGTTTCTTCTGCTATGACATCAAAAGACTCTACTGAATGACACAGATATAAAATGCATATATATGAGAGAAAAAGTTAGGATGTAAGTGTGCAAAACGAAAAAGAAGTGTTCTGGCTCACCTTGGAATAATAGAATCATAGAATGGTTTGGGTTGGAAGAGACCTTAAAGATCATCTATTTCCAATGCCCCTGCTATGGGCAGGGACACCTTCCACTAGAACAAATGGGAAATAGGTACATGGATAAATTAGTGACCAAGGGGCTGAACAGATGAATTGCTTCCATGGCTCTTACAGCTGATTTTCCTAATGCATTTGAAAATAATTCTCTTTGACCTGTGGTGCTCAAATCATATAGGACTGCCACAGAACTCAGTGCTGCCCCGATCCTCTCTGTCTGCTTTTACTTCCTCTGCTGCTGTATTCAGAAATCAGTATGGAAGTTATCTGAGCAGGAATCCTGGGCTCAGAGGTATCTGGCATTCTTTCTGAGCCCCTTGAAACTTAAGTAGAATATCTAACATCCTTGACTTGACTTGAACCTGCTATTATCAAGAAACAACCCTGTTTATGGTAATATAAAGGCGAAAAGATGAACTGAGCATAATGCTCTCAGTAATCCTGCTCTCAAATTTCATCTGTGTGACCTCATTTGCTTCATTGAAAAAGCACAAATGTATGTTAGCATCAAACTTGCCCCACTGTGAGGAAAGAAGAGGCACAGGAATGCTAAAAGCTGTTGGGAGTTAACAATTAAGTTGCGGAGACAAGGGTGATAGATGGTATTCACTCTTTAGCCTTCTGTGCTGATAGCAGGCCACAATCAGTTTTTTTTAAGCTAGTCTACGCCTACTCCTTCAGCAGGCATGATATGATAGGCATGTTAGCCATACTCTGATGCCTTACTCACATTAGCTGTCAGTGTGTACTTGCACCTTAGAAGGCCAGCTGTGTCCTGGTTGCCCAAAGGAGCTATGGCTGCCCCATTCTTGGCAGTGTTCAAGGCCAGGTTGGATGGGGCTTGGAGCAACCTGGTCTAGTGGAAGGTGTCCCTGCCCCTGGGTGGGGGGGTTTGGAACTAAATGACCATTCAGGTGCCTTCCAACCCAAACCATTCTATGATTATATCATTCTATGATTCTATAAAGGTGTGACCCTTTGTGTCTTTTTGCGCCCTTATTTCACTGAAAGTTTATAGCTGTAATCTAAGCCAACAAAAGCAAAAAAGGAAAAAAAAAAGATAAATGCAACCACTGAACATAAATTTTCTACGTTAAACCCCAGTTTCATTGGAGGGAACATCTAAAAATGAAAATACAGTTTTCAGAATCTGTGTTTAGGGATGAATAGGCTAGATGGGAAAGCTGTGGTGACCTTTCCTCTGTTGGCATGAGTTGCTCCCTATGGTGTATCCCCCAGTTGTACTAATTTCAGCTTAAGGATCTCAGGCAATGGCGTTTCACCATATTGAGAATGCTTCAAATGAACATATTGTTGGTTTATAAATCCCGTGTGATAAAAATGTGTATTTTTTTCTTCCATACTGTTTAAATCCTTCTTCCCAGTGTGTTTTTAAGTAATTTCCAAATAGCTGTTTTTTCCTTGGCATTTTTATCCTTTCTAGATGAAGCTGTTCAAAAGTCTTAAACTTGGCTTCTTGCTGTTCTTACAAGAGTCAATAGCTGAAGCACTCTGTGCTTCAGCTTTTCATCTCTTGAAGTCAGTGGATGTGACTACTTGCCTGAGAGGTGATATGGAAAATCTGCATTGTCTTTTTTGATTCAGCTTGGTGCGGAAATTTACAATTGCTTGCAATTCTGATAACTGTAGCAGCAAAAAAGAAGCTCATATTTGGATGCAGAAAATTTGCTGTGACCTCATTTTGGAATGTAAACAGAATGGCACAAGGTTGACTGAAAAAAAATACAACACTCTGCATCTGCGTTCCTTCCATACCATTTTAGAAGCAGCAAATGCAGTCCTTCCCACATATATCAACTAAATTAAGTAATAATTATTTTCCACCAGGAATGTCAGTGTTGATTTTCAGTCAGCACAACCTGTCCCAACACCATGCATAATTTTGCCATTTTAGAGGTATTGCGCTCTAACCAAATCCACTTTCATGTTAGTAGTAAACAAGTAGTTAGATTACCTCTATGCATTCTGAGCTCAGCCCTGTCTGAACTTGGCAGGAGACTTAAGCCATTAAGAATTAAACTGTTGCCACAAAAAATGATTTAGACTTCCAAGGAAAACCCCCTCTGAGCTGAGGGACAGCTTCCTTTCAAATGCCTTTTGACACTGGTTTCCAAAGTCTTGTTTACCACATTAAAAAGGAACTGTGTCTGAAATAGGGAGAATACAGCAAATTAACACAGGAATATATAATCCAAGGGCCTGGTCCCATGGACATAAAACACAGATTTAACCTTATTCCCAGTGAAAAGCTTGGTTTGATCAGTGGTTTACTCCTAAGAATAATACTCTGCACCTCCTTCTGTGTGCAAGCTCAGAGTCCTCTGTTTAGAAAATCTTAGTAATTGAATGGAACCTTGATAACAAAGCATGAAAATTCTTTGTTTCTTGTAGTTTGTGTATTATTTAAGTTACAGCCAAATGAAAGAATACAGGATTTTATTGCTATGGCTGTTACAATGGATTTCTACCTTAGATTATCTCCTAAAATGACCAGTTTATGATCATTCAAAGAGGAGCACAGATTTTTTTAATTACGTCTGGAGATATTGGCCAGAGACCAAGAATACGTCTTATACTAAGTTTTCAGGAGGGAATGAGAAATCTGTTATAGCTGTCTGGACCAAGAAATTATGTACATCAAGAAATGATGGCTAGAAATCTGCAGCAGCTCCTCAGAGGAGACTGAGGTGATTCAAGTGCTATGCTCTCCCAGGAAGTTAGTGGTACACTTGATGACCCACCTAAGCACTTCCATTAGAATTTGATATTCCGTCCTGGGTTCAGCAGTAGCAGTCATGTTTCTCCTCCTTGGTAGCTGATTCTGACCCTGCCTTGCCCACCAGGCTTCCCAGCTTGACCTCAGACCTGCCTTGTCACTACAGACCTCTCTGCCAGTCTGAACTCTCAGCTGACTTGGGTTGATGAACTTGCTCTGCTCTTTGTGTTTGAGTAGTGTGGGACTGCTCTCTTCTTGGTGAGGTCTCTGCTCCTGTCTGCCTTGCTGTCTGTCTTGGTTGACAGCTTCCCCCTCTATGTGGAAAAAGCCACTGCTGCCCTCTGACAGTGAGGCCTGTAATGCAGCAGTTTTACCCTAGCACCATTATTATGAGTAGCAATATTGCACTATGGAACCCTTCAGTACATGAAAATGACCAAGGATCACCTGGTGCAAACAGGAATGGAACAAGACCCTTTTCACAATGGCAGATCATCACAGGGACACCCTTCCTGTCCCTAAAGCTATTGTCAGTAGCATGGGGCAGAAGTCTGGCAATGGAATTTGTAGCAGCTGAAGCCTTGGTTTTGCTGGAAAGAAACCTGTATTTTGAACATCTGTGTCTGGAGAAGGAGAGAAAGACAAATGTGCTTACAAGAAGCAGGAGCCATGAGCTGAGGAAGAAGCCCCGTAATGAGTTCAGATTAGATTAAGGCAAACTGACATTTTGGAGAAAAAGAATCCTACTTACACAATGATTGGTTTTCAATTACCTATTACCACTGGGAAAGTCATCCTGCAGTCTGTGCATTTAGCTCTTTGAAAACCTAGGTGGAAGGCAAAAGACGAGTCAAATGACAGGAATTATTAAGTAAGGAAGAGCTAGTAAAACAGGAAGCAGCATTATGCTCCAGCATAAATCCATGAATAGTGTGTGTGGTTTTGGTTCCCTGATCTTTAAGAAGATGATGTATAACTAAAAAAGGTAAAAAGATAATCTTTTTCTTGCATTAGCCTTGGTATGATAGCAAGCAACTTACATGCTTTTTTCCAGTGGCCCAGATATGCTTTTTAGGCGTTTTCACCCCTTTGAAGCTGGCTGTTAAAGCTGTCGGTGGCTCTTTGTGTTCAGTTTCCAGCACTTGGGCACTTTCTCTCTAGGCCATGATATAGCAGTTCTTGCAGTACTCTTGAGGCAATTCTCACTAGACAGAGTTATGATTAGCGCTAATTTTAGAAAAAGTAAGTCACGCATATAGCTGGGAAATGGTTGCAACCATCTGTAATACATCAGCCACATAAATAAACTTCCCATCTTTTCTTCCACTAGCAAAGCACCATCAGGACACAAACTCATCCTATTTCACGACAGAATTTCCAAGCCCTGCTAGACAGCTGAAATTTCTCAGGAACTCTTCTGAATCAAGTAGGAAATCAGCCTGCAAAGGCCACAAATATGGAGTTGCAGCATCTGCAAAGTTTCTGCATCAGTACAGACTAATATTTGAATCAGGAAGCAAGCAGGGCCAGTTGCATACCTGGCTGCATGCTGCTGGCTCGTTTGCTCCCACTTATTTGAAAACTCAGCAGAAATACAGTGCCTGTCTTGTCAGAGACATGTCTTACAAAAAACAGTATGACACATGGCTGCAAAGCAAGTTTAGCAGGTAAGGCCAAAACTGGGTTGGGGTTTTCCTCCCACATTGTCCCTCAAAAAATCCTGATTCGACAGCATTTGAGCTCTCCAAATGCTCAATGTTCTCTGCTCATGCTTTTATGCCCTATATATGCCACTCTCATGCAGAAGAGAAGAGGGAGCTGCTTGAGTTACCAGGGATGTGGAACACAATTGAAATGACGATCCTTTCTTTTATATGCAAGTTTGGATTTTATTGTAAGACAAATGTACTCAAACTAACACAGTCGTGCACTTTATCAATATTTTAAGCAAATACAAACTGATAATATATTTGTTCATTTTGATTAGATCTTTTACACGCGTCCAGATCATTAGTCATGGTCGCAAATACCTCAGAATCATAGAATGGTTTGGGTTGGAAGGGACCTTAAAGATCATGTAGTTCCGACACCCTGCCATGGGCAGGGACCCCTTCCACTAGACCAGGCTGCTCCAAGCCCTGTCCAGCCTGGCCTTGAGCCCTGCCAGGGATGGGGCAGCCATAGCTTCTCTGGGCAACCTGTGCCAGTGTCTCATAGTAAAGAACTTCTTTCCAATACCTAATCTAAAACTACCCTCTCTTCAGTTTAAAGCCATTCCCCTTTGTCCTATCTTTACAGGCTATTTTGTAAGCCCCCTTTAGGTACTAGAAGGCTCCTCTAAGTTCTCCCCTGAGATTTCTCCAGGCTCAACAGCCACAACTCTCTCAGCCTGTCTTCACAGGGGAGATGCTCCAGCCCTGTTTGTGGCCCTCCTCTGGACTTGCTCCAACAAGCCCATGTCCTTCTTGTGATAAATGCAGCACTCCACGTGGGGTGTCATGAGAGCAGAGCAGAGGGGCAGAATCACCTCCTTCAATCTGCTGGCCATGCGCCTTTTGATGCAGCAAGTTCTTTCTTTTAAAATTTAAGTTAATCCTGATGTATACAAGAACAAGAGAGATAAGAACCAAGTCCCACATTTTTTATTAAAGTTGTCATTCTAGCTTTCTCATTCCCTGTCAATAAATTTACCTACAGCAGCTGCAATATCAGTCTTTATAAGTTTCCAGAGCATTGAAGAAGCTTCTAATAGTCAGCTCCAAGAAAAAGAGCTTCTTCTCTTTTCTGATGTGCAACCTGTAGCCCTCCATTAAGCAGGTCAGATTTTTCATCAGCTGCCATGCTCCATTGCACAGCAACACTCCAAAGAAATCTAGCAGCCAAAACTGAGTATTTCTGAGAGTCAAAAATCAAGTAGATTTAAAATTGCCCTAAGGAAAACATTTTGCGAAGACATCACTCTCGTATATATGATAGCATGGCAGGTCGCAGGTGGCTCCTCTGTTATGTATCACCCTGTGAAGTGTCTGCCTCCATGGCCCCAGTATAACAATAAGCCTATAGCAGTAATCGAAAGCAGAATAGTAACTGTGCTTGCACCAGAGATACCTGTGAAATGGAAAGTAAACAAGACCTTTGGTTTTGGCTTTGCCAAGGCAATCTTGCATGGCATATTAATATATTTCATACTTCATTGGTACACTTAATGTATACTCCAGAGTACATCCCCTTCCTTTGGGAATGTCATCACTTAGCAAGATGCTAAAAATGGCTTGAGAGAGGATCTAGCATCACCACTGCACTATTTTTTCCCCTGTGTGCATGCATGTGTGACAATTTTGGCATCTCCCTTGGAAAATCTATTATACATATTTCCTCCAAATCATCTTTCCCCCACCTCTGATTTTTCTGAACCATAGGTTTCAAACCGAATTAGCTCCACATAGGGCAATAACCTGTGTGGGTTCAGGTGAGATAATACTGAGAAAGTATTTTTTTTCTGCTTATTGCAATTGATACTGAAGGTGACAAATTCTATTCCCTGTGCTACTCTTAGCTCTGCAAGTGACCCCAGACATTGAAGGCGTCACTGATTCTGGCTTTTTGAATCAGAGCAGGGCAAATCTGGAAGCATGCAAATAAACAGCAAAGACTGAGGAGCAGGCCCCTTGAAAAGACTGTTATCTCATACTCAGGTGTCAGAACCAGGTATTACTGGAGAAATAAAAAAGTTCCCCTGTAGACAAAGGGTTTCTATGAAAATTTAGTCCTTATTCTGAGAGATACTGTCATGCCATGGAAAAGAGATACAGATTTAGGCCCAAAATAATTATACTACTGTTTTAGAAAAATCAAAGTGAAAGCAATCTAATTGAAAATTCCTTTTACATACCCCAAAACTTGAGTGAAAACTATTGCTGATCTAAAATTTTTTGAAAATAGAGTTTAAATAGGACAGATCTGAACTGAGAGAGCAGAAAAACCCACCTAAAAATAGCCAGCCACTATTAGCAGTTGCCAAGCATGCCTTGGAACTGCAATATAATTCAGCCTGGCTGGAACAGAACCCTTCCTCCAAACCACAGTCCCCAGGTGCCAAGGTAATAATGAGATACATTAGAAATCATACAAAAATAAAACATCAGATGATACCATGGGCACACTGAGCAGGTGCCAAATTAACGGACATTTAGAGGACTCCATCTGAGGATACTCTCTCTGCACACCAAAGAAAACACTCTGAAACCTGTGTGAATATATCTGGTGAACCAGATATTCACAGAATGAAAGAAGAGTTTGGCTTGGAAGGGACCCTCAAAGGTCACATAGTCCAACCCCCCTTCAGTGAGCAGGGACATCTTCATATTCATCATCTTTTGTCCATTTTTAGGCAGATTTGGTTGAAGGAGTACGACAGGGAAAACTTGGCAGTTCAGCAGCTGGAGATGCTTAATGGGCTCTTGAAGAGATGTGGAAGGCATTAAAGAGGTAAGAGTGGGAGAAAAAGTTAAGGGCTCTTTTCCCTAGGGCGCTGTGATCCTGGGTGTTGCGGGGAACCTGAAATAGTAAATGGGAATTTGCTCATAGGCATTTACTCTGAAGATAGATTTGCTCAGCATCTAGGACATAGGTTTGTAATTCTCTCAATAGTGACATGTTTTAGTTCCTACTTCTAATTAAAGTAGTTGGAACTTACGGAGCTGGATGGGATACACCCAAGGGTACTGAGGGAGCTGGCAGAACGGCTCACTGAGCCACTTTAGTAGTTTTTCAGCAGTCCTGGGTAACCGGGAGTTTTTTTCCCAAATAACAAGTTATAGGACAATAGGTAATGGCCTTAAGCTGTGCCAGGGGAGGTTTAGATTGGATATTACAAAAAATTTCTTCAAGCATTGAAACCGGCTGCCCAGGCACGTGGTTGCATCACTGTCCCTGAAGGTATTTAAAAGATGAGTAGATGTGGCACTTAAAGACATGGTGCAGTGGTGGACTTGGCAGTGCTAGGCTTATGGTTGGACTCTATGATATTAAAGGTCTTTTCCAAGCTAAATGATTCTGTGATTCTATGATTGCAATTCTGCTCCTGGTAAGGTATTCTGCATAAGGGATGGCGCAATCCTGGATGTATGTGTAGTCTGGGGAACAAGAGGCTGGGCTGCATCCTGAAGAGAGGGATCTGGGGGTCTTGGTTGATGATAAGCCCAATATCAGTCAAAGTGCGTGGCCAAAAGTGCCATCATTTCCTAGGGCATCTCCAATGAGCAAGTAAAAGGAGCCCCTAGCCCAAAGACATCCCACCTGGTCTCTAGCAGGATCTTTGCCCTTCAGCGGGACACAAATTCCCTGTGAGCTCTGTGTAACGGCTGCCCTTGAGAGTCTCAAATAGCACAAGACACCTATGATTTACGAACCAACCCTTCAACCTCCTTTATGGTAATGGTGCCATAGGCAGCTGCTTCATCATAGACACTTTACACACCTAAATTTAGGTGCCTGAATCACATCTTATAAATGGATTCTAATCCCACCACTAATGCTGTCTTCTTTAGTTAGAGCACTCCACTGCTCCACTTCAGTTCTGATATCTCTACAGCACCAATGTTGCATTAACCATCTGGAGCTGCAATTTATCTCATTAGTCCATCAGTCTGCATGGGATCTACATGAAGGCGCACAGGGAATAAAAGAGAGAGTTTGGGAAAGAGTCCAAGATCCAGTCTGAGAGCATGTGATTGAAAAGCTAGCTGCAATCAAAGAAATTCAGGAAATATTTCTCTGGTAACAAAAACCCCAGCCTTTTCCTGGAATTGTCCCACACAGTTCGTGAAACAAATGAAGAGCTGTATCTAACTAACTTGCAGATATGAGCTGTTGCGTAAGTTTATTCTAACTTTTAGAAAGTGTTTTGAAGGGATTTGTTATTATTCAGGTATGACACAAGGATTTACCCAATCTGGCATGCTACGGTTCCTTCCCTAGGGATCTATTGGACAGTCAATTGAATCTCCTAGTTGTTCTCATTAACGGGAAACTTGTGGTTGTGATGCCATATTTCAGCTTAAAGGGGTGCTTCTTGGAAGTTTTACTTCTGCTGCGCTTATGGATGGGAAGGGCACTTATTGAGGCACTAAGAACTTGCCTGCCACAGCTTGAGGGGGAAGTCCCCGAAACACTTCCTGCACTATAAAGAGCTTTAGCTTTCATAGCAGGCTCCAGCTAGCAGAAACACAACCTGATAGAGAAGGGAATGATTAAATACTGCCATCACCTCAACACCAGGAGATCAGGTGCCGCTACATGTAGGACTGCTCAAATACAGAGGAATGACTCAGACTTGGGCCCTGTGCTATGAGGGTGTCTAGGCCCTCCTACTACAGCAAGATGTGTCTTACTAACCCAACTACTTCTCAGAGCAGAAGCAGCAAGTTAGATGGTCTAATTAGCTTCAGCAGTGGCCAGGAGAACTTGGTCAAGCAAGATGTCTTATTTGAGCTCAGGAAAGTATCTCCTTGGAGCCGCACCAAAACAGATGCAGTCTCTGGCAGCTGGTCTGGCAATTCCCAAAACTATTGTGACTTCCAGAAATGGCTTTGGAGGTAAGTATCCCTGTCTTCAGGCAGGAGGAGTAGTGGAGCAGGAACTGTGCAGTGGTAAGTTAAGGTGATCAGTCAAGAGTTCGTGGCAGCTTTGTGCTGATGAAGGTAGCAGAGCAAAGCCTTGCTGTGTGACAGGATCTGGCTCTTTCTGTTGACTTGTCCAGGTATAATATATAATGCTTCCCCAGTGAATGGACAGGATATTTATTCTTTCCCTAACCTGTATTACCTGTATCTCTACCCCTTTTCAGTGTTCTAAAGTATTCCTCAAAGATTAAGAGATCACAGATGTACCATGACAAGTGTGAAATTCTTCATATAAACCCAGAATTTGTCTCCATTGAAAATTCTGAGTAATTCCTGAGCAGTGTGCTGTAGGTGACCCTGCTGGAGCAGGGAGGTTGGATTAGATGACCTTTGGTGGTGTCTTCCAGCCTCAACTATTCTGTGATTCTGGAGTGAGTTCTGAAAGAGGCAGGCTGATTTTGTTCCTGCTGCTGTTCAGTGTTGAACACTAACAGGTCTCTGTTATAACAGTCTAAATTTATTGGAATTCTGCTCTTAAAGTGATTAGAAAATGACTGGAAAAAAATAATGTAAAAGAACACATCCCATAAAGTTTCTGTCACTCCATTATAGAAATCCCAGCAGGTTTGGAGAAACATGAAAGAATTCTGGCTTAGTGAGCCTCAGAACTTCTGCACATCTGTTCATGAATTATTTCTACCTTTTATTGCTTTAAGACTCTAACTGCTATTGGGGCCCTTCTTATTATAAAAGCATATAGAAAAAAAGGCTCTTCTCTGAACAACTTAAGAGTTTCCATAGGTGAAGAAGACAAGTGTTGTGTATTTTCTGTGTGTCTTCTCTAAGTACGTGGTGTGTTGCAAATTGAGAATGACTCAGTAGATGGGGCTGGAATTATTTCCACTTGAACTAAAAGCCCAGTCAGACTGCATATACTCAGCTGGCAATATGTTGGTGGGGAACTCTAGTTTTGCAAAGATTTCACAAGAGACACTTGGAACGACTTGCTGTGTTGTGCAGATGACTGCATTACTGAATACTGGTGGATTTGCTTTCAACACAGATTTTGGAAGATTTTTATCGCTGCTTGTGCTTTGACTGACTTCTGAACAACGAATGAGCTTATCAGAGTAGTATGAAGAAACTACAAGCTGCAGCTGACTTAATAGTTACATAGCAGCTCCCTTAGCTGTGGTGCTGATTTAGCATACAAAGTCAAATGATTTATGTGAAAATGTAATCCTGAAAGTTTCATGTTCAGTTAATTTTTTTTAAAGCTCAAAAAAGCCCCTTATAAACTAATTAACATTGTCAAGAAATGTTATCTAAGCAAATAGAGCTATCCAGGAACTCATTTATCTCAGGCATATGACTTGCAGTTTATCAAAAATAGTGAATGTGCTGAAAAAAAGTAAGTTTCTTCCTTTTGGAAAAAAAAACAAAACCAAAAACCACAAAAAAACCCCAAACCCTAAACCCAAAACCAAAACAAGCCTCCCCCCGAACTGTAAATTCCATAGTATGCATAACCTTCTGTATCCATGCTGGAATCATTTACCAATTTCTCAAAACTTTCAAAATGCTTGCAATTGCCCCCTTCTTCCTATGTTTCTCAGCTGCTTCTGTGATGCAGCCTTACAGAAGAGCATTATTCTTCATGCTGTTGCCTTCACACCTACAGTTATTCTCTTTCAGCTTTCTACACAGATTTTTTGTTGGCTGGGTTTTCTGCTCTTGTCATGCACATATAAAGATACATACGTTCAAGGCCAGGTTGGACAGAGCCTTGGGTGACGTGGTCTAGTGTGAGATGTGCCTGCCCATGGTAGGGGGTTGGAACTGCATGACCTTAACGTCCTTTCCAACTCAAACCATTCTATGATTCTAGGATTCTATGAATATGGTGGGTCAGATTCAACGGTGAAGAGGAAAGCTATATATATTTCCTGACATGACGTGTCAATAAATGGGCACCCTCAGTATGTTTCCAGGGTCTCTGGACAGCTGATTGGAGAGCAGCAGCAGTCCACCATGCAGAGCAATGGGGACAGGAACAAAGACAGCCCTGACAGGGTCCAGCCAGTGCTGCCTCCCAAGGGAGCAGCTTTGGGCTCCCTGTGCACAAGCGCTGCCACTTTTGCCTGACAGCACAGAGCTGGGGTACAGCTTGGAGGCACTGAGGTTAAGCTGGGTCTCCTGGGCTGAGGAGACCAAAAAAGTGAGGCAAAACAAGGAAGTGACTACTGTCTACATGGCCCCTGTCTACATGAAGATTTTGTTATGCAGCTTGTGGCACCAGAAAGCTTGAGGTGTGAGAAGACAGGGTTACTTTTTCTCTGCATGATTTTTCTATAAAACTTCAAGAAACTCACCGTTTTTTAATTGTACTCTTAGAAAGAATCATGGGGCAAAGAAACTACAGGCAACTGGATTTTTCCTTCTGTGTATTTTCATTTATGCTGAAGTAGACCAAATCATGGATATCAGCTTAGATAAAGCTGATATCTGTATATAAAAATAGCTGCACACAAGAAGTTCAGGACCTGTATTTCAGGCTCCAAAAATTTCAGCACAAACAAATTATTTGAGTCAGCATTTCAAGCCTTTCCCTCTCGAACTGCACTCCTGATTTGTGAGACAGGTAGAGAGAAAGAAGAGGCTGTGATTTACTCATTGTTGCTAATGAACTCTTTATTTGAATTACTCTTAAATGGATATTTATTAATTTACTGTCAAGAGAACTTGTTTGCCCTACTGTTCCAATGAAGCCTGTTTGTTGCTTTATGAAACTTTGCAAAGAAATGCAATTTTCTGTCCATTTCTGTCCTCTTTACTTTATGGCAGGAGTTAGCTTCCATCTTTTTTCCCCCCAAGTTTCATGAAGGCTTAACCGCATCAATATTGTGAAAGTTGCCAGATGGTGTTTTTACAGGTACTATTTACAAGTTGCATTTAAATGACAGTGTACTTAGACCTTGAAGAAATGATTCTTTTAATTGGGCTGCAGCTATTTTTAAAAGCCATGTTCAGCTCCAAAAGCCAGCAAAACCACTGAAATTCTTTCTTTAACTTATTCAGCCCAAACTTTGGAAATGATTCTGGAAGAATCTGATCCTGTACAGAAAATCCTGTAAGGACTCTTGTGACTAGAGTAAGGTTGAAGCAAGTGAACAAACACTTTCCCAGAGCTAGGCCTGTTCTCCCCTAATCAAATCCCTTTTGGGGCTCATTCTGTGACTGCATTCCATAACTGCGCCAACCAACATGTTCTCAGAGTATGTTACAATGTAAGTTATAACATGACTAATTATAAGACACTTGCAGTTCAATTTTGTATTTGCTTTTAAGTGTCTTTTAGCCAAAATGGGCAACAGTTATGTGTATGAGAGCCAGAAATCCTCCAAATAGGCATGCTCATATGTATGCTGAGATACCCCCAGAATAGTTATTAAAATGTGGGTTTGTCTGTTATGGTTCTAAACCACATCTTTCAATTATTACTGAAGCTAAAAAAAAAAAAAAACAATGGTGTGCCATAAATAGGACTTTTGGATAAACTTTTGGCATCCAGGATTACATGACTTAACTTCTCACTTCCAACATCTGCTTTAGATTGATTAGCAGAGGTATTCAATACTAATTATTTTGAGGTTTAGCAGCTATGTAAAACATAACTGTGAATTTTGATAACTTCATGGCTCTTAGCCTTCAATTTCTGAGCTGTTAGTAACGACAAAGCATTTAGCTGACACTTAGTGCTTTATTAAATTTAAACCATATGCAGATTTGAGACAATGTTCTGATTTTCCTCCTGTTTTCCTTCCATTGGATTATCATACAGTTTGTACTGCTTTACCCACCAGTGGGTGAAAATTTTTGTGTTAGTGACCTGAATGAAAACCAGCCATACAGAACTCTGTATGAAGCTGACATCAAGAAAAATAGCTGCATGCCAGAAAAAGAGCAAGAGCTTTCAAGTGCCTTACTAATGACTTTTACACGTCTTCCAATGCTCAGCACCCTTTATTTACAGTGAGCAGGACTCGGCATCATTGCCTGCCTACTGCTTCTCTCCAATTTAAAGCTCTGAGTCAGATGCACCACATCACTTTGCGACAGCTGGCTGTCAGGCACCCTGCAGCTCATCAGCCCTGATGGCAAAAATGACAATGGTACATACAAAGGCGCAATGAACTTGCTGTCAACACAGACCAGAGGCACAGTAAAACAGTAAGTTTACAGCTTCTTGTCAGCTGGCAAAAGTAAGATTTTGCAGGACTTAATGCATACGGATGTGGAACAAAACAAAGCAAAATGATACTGTTCTTGGGTCTCAGCTACAAGAGAACAAATATGTGATTAGTTTAATCAGTGCAAAAAGCTGTAGTAGGACTTAAAAGTAGTAGAGTTCACAGGGATGTCAGAACGTTCTTCTTTAGCAAGTACTCACCAAAGTACTCTGTGTCGGTCACCTCCTAGTGAAGTATGAGCTTCTGAGGAGCAGATCCTTCCTCTTGCACTTGAGTTCAGCAACACGTCTTGTTTCTACTGAGTATCTTCATATAGAAGCTTGTACAACCTGCTTCTCTGTGGCAGCCCTTGAATATGTAAGGGTTCTCACAACAGAAGCGTATTTGTGAACAAGGAGTCACATCCATGTCCCCAGTATGGCTGGTGATGAAAGAAGCTATTTAGGAATTTCTCTGCTGTTGGAACTGTTATGGGATGCAGATTCAAATTCTGCTTCCCATCTGTCCTCAGGAACTGTGGTTAGTTTAGCACCACTACCTTTACAGTCATCGGAGATGGGTATGACAGAGGCTGACTCCATGTCAACAGTCAAAATAGGTGAAGGAGCTCAAAGGTCCTGACTGGAGAATGATGCAAATAACACTCCATGAAGAGAAAAGTGGGTGTATGGAGTGAATCCTTATCTGCATGAGGTAATCTCTGTTGCTCAAATACAAACATCATTGCATATGGAGAAACTGCAGCTAGAGACAGAAATAACCAGAAATAAAACATTTAATATTTATACTATTGTCATAGCTCTGACATTCAATAGAACATTACAACTCTTTGCAGAAAACCATGTATCTTCAGAATGGTTAGAAAATGAAAATATATTTTAACTCAAATGAAAGCCCTCAAATATATTTAAAACATATTTTAAATATGCGTCATTGCTGATTAAGACCTTATTTTCCTCTAAAACATAGCAAAAAGAGAAGTATAATTCGATGTCATGGAGCTGTGATTGTTTCAAATTCATTGGACAGACTAGCTGTCAGCAAGATAAATGAATCATCCATAGATAACTCATATTGCCATATTTATGAGAGTGGGATTGGAAAAAGAAAAGCAGTCAATTAAATTGAAAAGGAAAATATTGCACGGGACAGTTTTCCAAATGCATGTGACAAGTGAAACTAAGATTTGTTAAAAACTGAAATGTGAAATCTTTTACTTATTTCTGGTATAGTTTCCATGTTTTATTGTTTTCTTGTTTATATACCAAGCATCAGCTCAAGAGTTTTATCTGTTTCTTATTTAGACATGAGATGAGTGATGTGAGTACAAAATGGGTAGATTGTCCAAAGAATTTTTACTAGTGCTAGCAGCAATGGAGGAACTAATCTATGTTGAAGCAAGGCACATAGTCTGGAATATATTTAGGCATTTATACCAGGCATTCTGGGGAAAAAAATCCTACCTCCTCAACAGTGGGTACGTGTTTATCAAGTGGGAAGGTGAATAAGGGATGATCAAAATATCAAATAAGACTAACTGAGGGATGTTACGGAAAGAAATGATGAGCCAACCTGACCAGAAGGGAATAAAGTTCCTGTGCTTTTGCAATAGAAAATATCCCAACTTCCCTTTCCCTCCAGTGACACGAAGGAAACACAGGCAAGCCTTCTACAACACTACACTGGATGTATTGCATGTGTCAAATGTCTTTGACCAGCTATTCTCTTTCTATTCTTAGCAATACTGTTTTCTAACACCAAAGCTGAAAGCTAGGCTGAGAAGGTTGAGATGTTGCACCCCTAAAATAAACACTAATCAGAAATCAAAAGTTAGGGAAGAATGTCTCCTGTACTGTTCACTGCTGAATATGTATTTATATTGAATACTCAAGAAGTCCTAAGTGTGGGAAGGGTGTGATGCTCCACAGATACTGAAAATGCTGAACAAACTCCAAATGCCAGTCATGCCACATAAGTATCTCTGTAGCCCAGTAGCCACCTAATCATGGTACGAAGTCCAGAGGAAGCAGCAGAAAGGGTGTTACATTATATTACAGTCCATCACATATAAGCTCTGTAAAAGACAGTATAGGAAGTTTGAACACAGAATCCATCAGTGAATGAAAGAACTTTAAAAACACTCTGAGACCAACATCCCTCTGTGTGGATGAATCAGGCAACAACAAAATGTCTAGGGGGTAGTTATTATGGATAGCCTTACAAATCATCAATATAATGCTAAATTAACTTGCTTCAAGGCCATATATCTTTTATGTAAGGAGTGCTGCACGTTTTAAAACTAAGAGGTCTGTGTCTGATCTCATACATAGCTCAATGAATCAAGAACACTCCCAGCAAGATCCACAGAATTTCTTTAATGAGGAATGAGTGAGTGACAGACTGCATCCTGTGCTCATTCCGAGAGCTGAGCATGTGGCCATAGTGGAGTCTTATTCCTTAATGGTAAAAGGCTTTTGAAATCCATTTAAGTCTATTAGTGCGCCCATAAAATTGTGCTCTCACTCATTTTCTCAAAATAAATATCCTGAACTTAATGGAGCATAGTGTCCTTTCACTACCAGTACCCAAGAACTCCAATTATGCATTATTAAGCTATTAAACTGAACTGAACGAGAAGAACTGGCACTTACTGGCAAGATCTCTGTTCTAAAATGCTCAGTAATAAACTACAGAAAAATTAGCAAGTGGTTATAAAACTGCCATCTCCTACCAGCTGCTATCATTTTGTTTTCTCTAACACTTAGAAAAGCACATCTTATGCATGCACACATATATATAGAGGAAGGCACACAGATCTACCTGTGCTGTCACACACTGAGCTGTCAGAGTATTTCAGAAAGCCAGCTCACTCTTGAGCATGCTGTAGGCCGGTTCCTGCAACATAAAGATGATGTGTCCTCTGGAAGTTTCTAAAATACTCTCTAAAATCAGAGAGCATGTCTGGCTCTACAGACTTCAGGATGTGAAGCAAAAGACTTCCTGAGCCCCCAGATAGCTGGTGGCATATTTTGATGACAAATTAATCAACACTGGAGCTTCTTCGTGTTTATTGTTCCATTTGGTATGCAAGGAATGTGGAAATGGGAAAAATCAGACATTGTAAACTTGTTACACTCTTATAAGGTGATATGATTTCCAAATGAAAAGCTGATGACAACATAATAAATGTTTCAGAGGTGTGCAAACATCACAAATGATTATCTAACACTTCACCCGCTTGAAAAATCAAGGAATAACTATGTTATTGTTTACTTCAACACTAACCTATTCAAGTCACTTGCTCTACGCCTCTTACTTAGAGTGCTGTTTAAAATCCACAACCAACCTTTGTGATCTTTGCTTCACACTAGATTTATGGTAAAGCAGTGTTTTCACTGTTTTGTTTGCAATGCTGGCATCTATTATTTCCATTATTATATATTTAATTTACTTTATTACTTTTTATCTTTTGACATCGATTTTATAGGTGACAAACATTCCCTTGAGTTATGACTGAGTTGCCTCCTCGCTCACCCTAATTCATGCGTTGAAAGCACATGTTTGGATCTGCTTGCTCGAAATTGCCACAGTATGGAGTGAAAAGAACAAATAAAAATGTTACTTAATTATGCAGAGCTGATGGTGGAGCTAAGCCAGAGCTACTGCTCCTCTCTACTTTCACCAGCACAATGCAGTTCATCTCTGTGGAGTTTTATTGTCAATGAGCCCAAGAAGAAAATACTGTCTCCTGAAAGGATACAATAAAACATAAGTTTATATCATACCATATAAAGTTTTAAGGAGTTCACAATGACTGAGCTGATGGCACCGACATGTAGTTAGAGATTTATGACTGCAAATAATTTTTTTTCCACTCACGGATGAGCTCAGCACCCATCTCATGCAATGCTGCCACGGGCTGTTGCAGCCCAGAACAGTGTACCGTGGCATAATCCATTCGCCTGCCAGATTGAAGGGAAAGCATTGAACCCTTTTATGCACCATCATGCAGGGAACTGGCTAGAGCTGCAATTTCCAAAACATCATCCCTAAGATTTGATACCTGAAACCCTGTTTACATTCTTTAAATATGAGTAAGCTGAGCACACATTTGCTGAGCATTTAGGGCTCTGCCACTATTGATATTAAAACTGCCTTCATCCGTATCTGTCCACATATATATGGTCAGCATGTCTGGTCCATAACTGAGGCTTTAGAGATTTAGTTGGCTGGTTGTTGTCCTTCTGGGTAGGGTAGGGATGCTGGTTTGTGAGAGAAGTGTCAGGTCGAAGACATCTGGGCTTTTCAACCTGCCCTAGTAGCCCTTTTTTATTCCTTCTTTCCAAACACAGAATTAATGAAATATGTTTGATATCATTTTAAGTAGAAACTTATGATAATCATAATCAGAGGATCACATAATGGAAATTACGTATGGTCACTTCAAGACTGGGACAAGGCTAAATGTACATTCACTTACTGAGGAATGTGGAGTTATTGTTCCATATTCTCAGCCAGTTCTCATCCTGTGAAAGGAAAAACCCTCTCCTACAGTCAAACCACACAGCTCTTCAAGTGACCTTTACATTTAATAGGCATAGGCTCAGCTGAAGGTAAGCAGGCATTTACTTTCTAGATTGCAAGTAAGAATTCTGCAACATTATAGAAAAGCCTATATTTTTTTGTTATATACTTTGTACAAATAAGTATAGGATATTATTTGAGTAATATATTGTGAAAATACACTCACAGAATTCTTCTTAATTATTATTATTATCTGATTAATTAGTATTTGACAAAATGCTTAGTGTTATAGATGTTTAAAAATAAAGAGGAAGAAAGCTGTATGTCATGAACTCTCCTGAAGAGCATTTAAATGCACGGAAATTAGATTCACAGAATCACTTTACTTATGCTCTTTCACCTGTATATTTTTGTTCATCCTTTCCCAAGCCTGCTTTGTCCCTCCCTTGGGGGGAATGTAGGAGACAAACATATCCAAAGGTTAGTGACACTAGAGAAGTGGGTTTTGAGATAACCTGTAAAATAGAATGATACCACAACTATACTGCATTTTCAGCTGTCAGCCACATGGCTTTTGATTAGGAAGAAACTAAATAAAAATACTCCAGATGTTAAAATAATCCTTTACCTTTTCTGTGGGATAGTAATTTACCCCTTCCCTTTTAACTCTTTGCTTTTATAGGTATTTCTGTGCTCTTGAGTTTCTTATTTCCTCTGGTTCCCTCCCCTTCTCCTCTCCCCCTACAATGCTTCTCCATTTCACTGGACTTGGGTTTTAATTTCACTTGTGTCTGGGGTTTCTTTACTCTGCTCTTTAGGACCAGAAGTCTACATGGATGGATTAACAATATATCTATCGCTTCTCTGTGCTGCTTCCCCCTGACCCCAAGGACCTTTCAGAGTACTGAAAAACTGAAGAGAAATGCTCTTCAGAGTACAGATCGGAGAATTATTAGTTTCCTGAGTAACTTCTGCTTTTTAGCTATTCCACTTCTTCAGTTCTTCCTGTCTTCATTGTACTGACACTAAGGAGCTCAGCTCATCAGCTATCTTGAATCTCATGCAGATGCTTATGCTCCAGCAAAAAAACTTTTCCCTCACAACAAATGAAAGCTGCTGTTAGGTGCAAGCAGTGGAAAGAAATGCCCTCCATTGGCAAAGTCTTTCCTTATACATGGCTTCTGGCATTGTTGCACCTAAAAGCTTGCTGGATACTGCAGATCCTGGATACTAGAGGTGCCACAGAGCTCTCCTGGAGGAGCATCCCCACACTTGCTGGAGACAACAGGGAGCACAGCCTGCTCCTGTATGTGACCTCCACGAGGTACCCACACTTGTGCCCATCTCTTAGGCCACAGGAGTGGCTGTGGAGAGCCATGCACAAATATTGGAGCTTCGGAGGCTCAGATGATTTAGGCCTGAGTGATATAAAAATGCAATAGTTTTCACAGAACTAGTATTAGTGCACAAAACTCTGTCCCCATCACCACCACTTTTCCCTGGCTTCATCTTCAGCCAAGCACTTCAGTCACATTCCTCTCTTTGGTCGGGTCTTTGGGAAATGGGAAAAGTGTGCCATCTGAGTGCAGCCACACAAAAGAGCAAGACACTGACGGTGCAGCAGGTCTGCTCCCAGAAGTCCCTCAGCCCGCGCTGTCCCGCCGCGGGTCGTTGCGGGGGAGACGGCTGCTTATGCGTGGCAGCTGCTGTGCCCTTCTCTCTGCCGGCAGTGTGTGGCTGTGCAGCGCGGCAGCTCCTCTCCCCTTCTCACCGCCCTGCTCCGGCCACACACTCCCGCCCCACGGGCCGCTCTGCCCCATCCCCGTGTCCCCGTCCCGGCGCAGACACAAGATGGCGCCGCAGCTACCTCCTTGCGGCCGGGCCGTGGCTGACAGGCTGCTGCCGCGCAAGCGGGCTCGCGGCTCGGGCCTGACCAGCCCTCAGGGGATGGGCGGAGGGGGCAGCGTTACAGACTCTGCCCAAATTCATGCGTTGGCGGGTTGTTTTAGGGCCGTAGCCCTAACGGCGGGCACTGCCGTGGTACCAAGCAGGGGAGACAGTAGTCTGACTTCAAAACCCCAGGCTGAGCATTGTGGCTGCCGGTGCCTTTCTACTGGGAGGGAGGAGAAGGCCCGGCAACACAAATATCCTCACCTTCGAGTGGCAGAACACATGGACATTCTCTGGTGGACTTTATTCCATGCCTGTCACTGCGCCCCTTGCAGATGGCTCACACAGGACGAAGGCCACCAGGTCTAGGTTTCTTGTCTAGGATCAGGGAGTTTGGCTTGCAAAAAGAAAAGGGTGAAGATTTTCTGCCCCAGAGGCAAATCTTCTTGGGGGCCTGGCTTTAGAGAAGCTGTTGGAGGAGTTCTGTGGCATGAATAGCTGTGGATACCTGCCTGTGATCCTGCCCCTCTGCTCTCGTGAGACCTCACTTGGAGTATTGTGTGCAGTTCTGGTGTCCTCAACATAAAAAGGACATGGAACTGTTGGAACAAGTCCAGAGGAGGGCCACGAGGATGATCAGGGGACTGGAGCACCTCCCGTATGAAGACAGGCTGAGAAAGTTGGGACTGTTCAGCCTGGAGAAGAGAAGGCTGCGTGGAGACCTCATAGCAGCCTTCCAGTATCTGAAGGGGGGCTATAGGGATGCTGGAGAGGGACTCTTTGTTAGGGACTGTAGTGACAGGACAAGGGGTAATGGGTTAAAACTTAAACAGGGGAAGTTTAGATTGGATATAAGAAGGAAATTCTTTACTGTGAGGGTGGTGAGGCACTGGAATGGGTTTCCCAAGGAAGTTGTGAATGTTCCATCCCTGGCAGTGTTCAAGGCCAGGCTGGACAGAGCCTTGGATGACATGGTTTAGTGTGAGTTGTCCGTACCCATGGCAGGGGGTTGGAACTTGATGATCTTAAGGTCCTTTCCAACCCTAACTATTCTATGATTCTACAATTCTGTATTTCACACAAAGAGTGAGAGGAATCAAGTAAAGTAAAGCATAACAAAATCTTCTGCTGGAAGCAGAAAACAGGGAGTACTTAGAATAAACCTCTGTGCTTTCCTGCTGAATTTAGTTTTCTTAACTGGGTTAGGTGAAAACTCAGTGAAGTTTGCTGTTAGGTTTTTACTTCTCCAAAACTACCTCTGTGGAAAGAGGGGAAGAAATGGAGGGAGAGTGGCTATCTAATGCTCCACATGGCAGGGATGGAGGGTGGGCAATGTCTATCAGAAGGATGTTGTGGTGCCCTGGTGACTGTCAAAAAGCAGAGTTCAGTGATACCCTGGATGTGAGCTGAGGAGGATCAACACCAGGTTTCCTGCTGCTGAGTCACTGTCCAGCCATGTCTGGCACTGGGAACTGGGCACTTGGGCAGGACATGTATAAATAAGCCCACTGATGACTCTATGGATGTGCACTGCTTTGATAACAGAATGGTTGAAGCTGCTGTCCTAAAGGCCCTATTCCAGCAAAATCAGCAAATGGGGCGTTGGATGCAGTCTGGAGATAACGTTAGTTTTTCCCTGCCCCTCCCTGAGTATAAAAATACCTCGCTCAGCTGTGCATATCTCCAAACTGAAGCCAAACCTGGAGGAGCTGTAGTGGTTGCAGATATGTTCTCATTTGGCAGGGGTGGGGTGATGTCCAGACCTGAATTATGTCAGTCAGGCTGACAAAGAACAAAGCACCATTACAACAAAAACCTCTGCTCCATCTTAAATAAAGCGTTGTTTGTGACTGCTGTGCTCCTGGCGAGGAGAAAACCAGAAGAGAAGCATAATAGTCTTTCAAGAGAGCCCTTAAGAGGGTTTTTTGGCCCAGCAAGTTGTTTTAATTAATAGGCTGCTTGTACATGTTCAAACTTGCCTAACGGTAAGTTGCTTATTAGTTATTGTTATATGTTGCTGGAAAAGGAGTATGTAGAGACCCATACTTTTAAAGGTCTGGTGAAAGGCAGCTGTATCTAGTTACATGGTGCAAAATTATGCTAAATGACATGATTTACAAGAACATAAACAGAGAATGAAGAAGGATTGTGTGTAGAGCCTTTTCTCTGGTGTATCACCATGGAGCCCTCTCTTCAGCCCCACTCCCCAGGAGCTTCTGTTTCAGTCACAGGTGAAAACAGGAAGGAAAATTCTGTATTTTCTTTCAAGACATCATCAAAGCCTTTCAGTACTCTGTCAAAGGAGGGCAGTCTCAAGTAAAGCAAAAGAGTTGAAAAACCAGACCCTTATGAATCTGAGTGTTAATGAAAAATCCCAATAAAGATGCTTTGTCTGATGCTGAAAAGTCCCTCTTGGCACAGGCCACAGTTAGATTTTCCATAGACATAGGAGAAAAGGAGCTTTCCCTCTCTATGTGCTTTTCTAGGAGATGATGAAACAACAATGTGAAATAATGATTAAAGTGTGATACGTAGCAGAGAACAGAGATGAGCTGATAGTCTAGTGAAAGGAACAGTAAGTAATAAGACTGTTGAGACACATGAAAAACTTGGGCTGTTCTGTAGCTAATAGATAACATTGTCAGTACCCTGAGGATAAAGATAGGAGAAAGCAACTACAATGAGTCTTTTCATAACAGTGTATCTTTTGTAGAATAAGAAGCAACAGAATACAGTAAAAAATCCTCAGAAGACAAGTTGTCTGTATGTATTATTAATACGGGAAGAAAAATTGAAAGTGTCGTTGGCCCCAGAGAGAGATCTGTGTGCCTCACCTCTCTGCTAACAATAAGGGCAAAAAGGCAAAGCACTGAATAGTGCAAGAAATAATGGATGAACAAAAATCCTAGACATAAATGTTAGTAAGATGAAGTATGAGGCAGTAGAGACAACTTGCTAAAATTAAAACAGTGAATCTGAACATTAAATGTATCTCTGATGTAGCTCGATTCACTGAGAATGCACTTGGGATGCAGTTGACAAACAGTGCTAATATACTGAATTTGAACAGTGAGAAGGAAATAAAGCAAACAATTGACAGCACTGAACATTTTCTCTTGGTAGTTTCTGTAGGACACAGTGACTTAGTATATGCATCCCTCACTTGCAGGTTGCTCAAGTCACTGAATGCTTCATACCAAGAGGCAGCAAAAACATACACTCCTCTGGTCTCAGCACAATTGTGCCTGCCCTGGGGAGCAGCTGCTAAAGCTGTGCCAGATTTTTGGTGCTGCCCATGTGCTGCACTGTGCCACCGGTGACTACATCAGTTTACGTACAGTACAGTGACCTCTAGGACCTGAAGACCTCAAATAGCTTGACTATCTCCAAGTAAATGTTATATTTTAGGCAAGATTTACTTATTTGATTGATGCATTTATTGGCATCTATGAATTTATTTTGAAATAAACATTTTATTTAGACTGAAGGACGTGGATGAGAGAGCAGGAGAGCACAGGGAAAGTCCAAATGCAAGATGTGACAAGAATTCAGGTCTCAAATTTAATAGTCAAAGCCTGCTGTAGGCATATACAGGTGTCATATTGCTCTGTGAGGTGCCTTACTCTGTGTATTGTTTCTGCTAAAGATGACTTTCAGAGATGAGACGCCTAATAAAACCAGTCGTTACTGAAGAAGATGATATCAAGTGCCCATTTGCAGAGACAGCCAG